AGCATCCCTCTTCTACAGGTCAGGGTCATATGTGAGCACTGTCACCACAATGAAGAGTGCCCAGCCAACAGCACACAGAGCTCAACACAATCCCACCCTCAATCTCTCCATCAAGCTGGGCATGGCGCTTTATAACAGTAGTCACAGTACTGGGGAGGCTGAGGCAGGAGAATCACTTAAGAGTCCAGGGCTAGACTGGTCTAGAGAGCGAGACCATGCCTCAGAAGATCAAAGAAAAACCAAGTCTCTCCATTTGAATCACACTTCACGCCCCGATGACCACGCGAAAACACAAGCATGCTTACCTGTTCAGTAACCGGTTAATCAGTATTCTACTGAATGTTGACTTCCCAATGTCACAAGGGCCACACAACAGGATCACAGGGCAGCCATCTACTTTTGCAGGTAAAACAAACAGTGAGCCCCAGGGGTCAGCCAGTCCTCAGGACTGCAGTTATGCAGGGCCTGGGGCTCTGGGGAACAGGGGACTGGTGAAAAGGTGGCGCTCACCGCAGCACACACTGACTAGCTCTTCCAGGGCACAAAGGCCACTCTCACTCAAGCAGATGCCTCTCTTCTTCCTCTGCCTTCTGAGGCCAATCTTCTTCAAAAGTAAATACTCAGCATTGGTCCGCATAGGAGTATTCTGAAAAACAACACAAACTCTAAGGAAAGTTGTCTTGAAAATGTACATTTGCTTGACACTGAATTAATAAGCAACAAACAGTTGTGAGTTACAATACAAAACAAAAACTGGTTCCTTTCTCTCAGTACCCCCACACCCAGCCCATCAGCATGTCCTGCCTACTTTCCGAAGTTCGTGTCTGTGTTCACAGCATGTACCCACTCTCAGACTGCCACTGCCCCTGCTGAAGACAGAGGCATTAATCAAAATGGAGGGAGAGTTCAACAGGGGCCATCGCAGGGCAGGTGGGCAATCTGCAATAAGGAAAGGCCATCTCTCAAACCACAAAACTAAACAGACAGGAGAGGTGCCAAGGGAGCTGCAGAGTGGAAAGGCGGGTGTGCTCAGTTTTCACTGGAGACCTAAAGGAAGCAGGATGAAGCTAAAAGGGCGTGTGCTGGGTGGGGAGGCTCAGGTACAGTGTCCACCGGACAGTGGAATGAAAGAAGGCAGCACCCACAAACACATCCTCATGCAATCGGCAATCAAAGAGGGCATCCCTGCCTCGGAGGCCTCCCACTGGTATAGATCTTTCTGTAGAGAGTAAAAATGTCATCTCAGAGTTGAAGAGATGGTTCAGTGGCTAAGAGCGACTACAGATCTTACAAATGACCAGAGTTTGTCAGATAGCTCACAATCACCTTAACTCCAGTTGCACGAAATTTGATGCCATCTTCTGGCCTCCTAAAAAATATGTGGCACACGCATTATATATATGAAAACAAGGGGCTGGAGAGACGGCTCAGTGGTTAGGAGCACTAGCTGCTCTTCCAGAGGTCCTGAGTTCAATTCCCAGCAACCACATGGTGGCTCACAACCATAATGAGATCTGGTGCCATCTTCTGTTATGCAGAAGACTGTATACATAATAATAAATAAATCTTTAAAAATAAGTAAATAAATAAATGAAAACAAGAAAGTCTCCAGAATGTAATCACATGAAGGGCTAGGAAGATGGCTCAGTGGATAAGACTCTTAGTTTTTAGGACCAGAGTTCAAATCCCCAGCACCACGTAAAAACTAGGGAGGTGTGAGGGCTGCCTGTAATTCAGTACTTGGGAGGCAGACAGGGGAACGCTGGGAAAAGCTGGTTAGCTAGACTAGCTGCAACTAGTGGGCCCCAGGATCAACAAGAGACCTTGTACAATGAGTCAGGGAGATGGATTGAGCAGGACATTCCCTATCAGCTTCTGACCTCTATTTGCCTACACACAGGCACCCCACACAAGAAAGTAAATAAAAGTGTAACCTCACTACCAAAGGTGCACGCCTCTGGCAGAGGCAGGTGGATCTCTTTGAGTTCCAGGCCAACCTGGCCTATAAAGCTAGTTCCAGGACAGCTAGGACTGTTACTTAGAGAAACCCTATCTGGAAAAACCAAAGTCCAAGCAATAAAGTAACCACAGTAGTACTTGTCTGTCATCTCTGAGCTCCAGAGACAGAATACAAGGTTGAGGCCCCTCTGGGCTACATAGTAATATTGTGTCTCATAAATAAATAAATAAATAAATAAATAAATAAATAAATAACGAGTTGGGGGTCTGGAGAGAGGGCCCAGAGGTTAAGAGGACTGGGCTTTTGAAAGGCTGATGCTCTGCTCTTAGCGCCCATGCCGACCATGCTGTGTGGGTTACAACCTCTAGTAACTTCAGCTCCAGAGCTGTAACCACACACCTCTGGTCTCTACAGAAACCTGTCACAGGCGCATAGACCACATAACTAAATACTGAAATACTAATCACAAACACACAGCCTTGCCCCAACCCCTACACTTCACAGCAGCTCCTAAGCCTGCCCACCATCTGCCCCCACACCAAGGATGTATTAGCTCCCTCTCGAAGGGTTACATGGAACTATGAGAAGAATTCTTGGCTTGCTCTGGTCCCTCAGCTATTTGTCTTCTGGCAATTATGCAAATGAACTGCCCAGCCAGGTTGGGTGTTGCCTGTTTGTTTTGAGTGAGACAAGGCCTCTCTGTAGTCCGAGCTGTCCAACACAGACCAAGCTGGCCTCAAACGCATAAGAGGTCCTCCTTTATGAGTTCAAGGCCAGCCTGGTCTACAGATCGAGTTCTAGAACAGCCAAGGTTGTTACACAGTGAAACTCTGTCTTAAAAAACAAAACAAACAATAGGCTGGAGAGATGGCTCAGCAGTTAAGAGCACTGATTGCTCTTCAGAGGTCCTGAGTTCAATTCCCAGCACCTATTTCTAATGAGATCTGGTGCCTCCTCTGGCCTGCAGTGATACATGCAGACAGAACACTGCAAGTATAATAAATAAATCGTAAACAAACAAAAAACTTGCAATGGCCCACATTGTGATGCTGATATTAATATGAGATCTGGGGGATGAACATGGAAGGTTACGGCTTAATGACCAATCTGTGTCTAAGTCAAGTTCACAAGGGGCCAACTGTGGTCGTCAGTTTTTATGTCAACTTGATAAAAGCTGGAGTCATTTTAGAAGAGGGAGCCCCGCCTTTAATCTCAGCACTCAGGAGGCAAAGCCAGTCGAATCTCTAAGTTTGAGGCCAGCCTGGTCTACAGAGTGAGTTCCAGGACTACACAGAGAAACCTGCTGTGGAATAATCCTTCTGTACACTGTGAATATGTATTACTCTCATTGGTTAATAAAAAGCTGACAGACCAGTAGCCAGACAGGAAGTTAGGTGGAAAAGCCAAACTGAGAATGATGAGGAGGGCAAAGTTAGGAGTTGCCAGCAGACACAGAGGGAGCAGATGAATGTGCCAAGCAGAGTGTGAATAAGGAATAAGGGTTAACTTGAAATGTAAAAGCTAGTTAGTAATAAGCCTGAGCTATTGGGCAAGCATTTACAATTAATACAGGTGTCTGTGTGGTAATTTGGAAGTGGCTCCTGGGATGGGAAAACTCCACCTACAGAAACCCTGTCTCAAAAAAAAAAAAAACAAAAAACAAAAAACAAAAACAAAAAACAAAAAAAAGCAAAAAAGAGCACTTCAGTCCTTGCAAAGGACTGGAGTTTGATTTTCAGCACCCACACAGAGGTTCATCACCACCTCCTCAGGCACCAGGCAAACATGTGGCACACACACATACGTGCAAGCAAAACACTCACATACCAAAAAATAACAAACCTAAAAAAAAAATTAAAACAAGCCATGTGGTGGTGGCCCACACTTTTAATCCCAGCACTCAGGAGGCAGAGGCAAGCGGATAGCAAGTTCCAACACAGGCTCCAAAGCTACACAGAGAAACCCTGCCTTGAAAAACAAAACAAAAAATTTAAAACAAAATAATGCCTGTATAAGTGCTGGGGAAACAGCTTGGTCAATAATCTTGAGGCCCTGGGCAGAAACCCAGGCATGGAGCTCTGTGTGTGTGTTTGTGTGTCTGCCTGCCTGCATGTGGGCATGAGAAAGCCCATCACCTAGCATGTGCACATGAAGGCTGTGACAGCCATCCAGCACTGTCACTACCACACCCTATAACCACTGCTTTCTTCCCTTCCCTTGAAAACGAAGTCTTTTACTACGGAATCCCGTTTCTCTCTTCCCCCATCCTGACGCTGTCCCTCAGCAGTGTACTGAAACCAGTCTGGTCTAGATTCTCATCCCGCACCTGTCTCAGACCACCTCAGACCAGTAAGGCCTCCCACCCTGGCCATTCCTCAGCTCCTCTGTGGCTTCCTTATTTTAACTCTGTCTGGAGTGACACTGCCCAGACCTCATACCCTCTCTCTTCTCAAGCTACACCAATGTTTTCAAGCTGTCTCTTTCTCTCCCCTCATTTGTGTCCTTAGATACCCTGGCTCCCAAATTCACAGCCCCACCGTCTTCTTCAGACTGCAGACTCACACACTCTACTGCCCACCTGACACCTCCAACTGGCTGTCTTTTTTCCACTTCTTTCTTTTGGAGACAGGGTGCCATGTGGCTCAGGGTGGCCTCCACATCACTATCTAGCTGGAGATGCCCTTGAACTCCTTATCCTCCGAGTGCTGGGATTACAGGCTTGTCCTACCATAGCTGACAAAGGGGTGGCTCTCTTCAGCTGGGCAATGAAACTGAGAAAAGGAAAGATGCTCATGGCAACCTTTCCCTAGGTGCCTGTGTGAGTGCCTGCCACACCACATGAGTGGGGGCCAGAGGACAAAACCCAGGGGCATCTCCCCCTCTCCCTGAGTACCTGGGATGGAACCATTTCATCAGGCTTGTTCAGCAAGTGTCTTTGCCCGTGACACACCTTTGTGTAGAGACTGAGGTGCTGCCATGTGTAACGCCTACCCCACTCACATGGCAGAGAGGATGATTCTGAGGGCATGTCCTACACAGCCATTCAGCTGACTGCTCTGTGGCAAACCTACACAAGCACTGTCTTTACCTCCTGCAAGAAGACATAAGATGCACACGCGTAGAAGCTCATGAAGTCTACAGCAGACGTCCGAAGCTGCTCCAGCAGTACCACGGAACCCAGGGGAGGGAAATTCTGTATTGCCCAGTTTCTGTCATCTGTAGAGAGAAGAGCAAGCTGCCTCAGAAGAAGTAACAATTTAGACCCCTTGAGTGTAACACACAGCAGAGCTGATTCTCGGACGTAGGGCGGAGGCACCACAATCCAAGCCTGCCACCACCAGCTTCATGGTCTTGGAAAACATCTGGTGTAAAACGGCGGAAATAACAGTACTTTAACATGTAAGCCCCGCCCCCCTCGAGGATTTAAATAGAGTACAATGTACAGAATATAACAAGCACTTAAAATCATTAGCCTTGACATAGGAGGCCGAAGCCTTACCCAGTCTCATGTGAGGCTTGAGCAGAGCCCGGATCTCTCTCCTGATCTCCTTCTCACTTTTCTCAGGCTCTGGGTACTCAACCCCGTTGATGGTCAGGTAGGCGTGGGTGTAGGTAGAATAAACATCTCGGGCAGGCTGCCCTTGTTTGATGACATGGCCGTATATTTCCACCTGGCCATAGATGCAAGTCACCCGGCAGATCCCACTAAAAGTAAAACCCTAACAGGAAAAGAAAAACAACAACAACAACAACAACAACAAAGCATTATGGATACTGCTACCAAAGACAGAAAAAAAAAATCCTATATCTTAACTTGCTCTTCACTTATCACAATGATTTTTTCTTTCCCCTCAAAAAAGGGCCTCATGATGTAGCCAAGGCTGTCCTAGAACTGACTAGGTACAACAGGCTGGCCTCAAACTCATGGAGATCCAACCATCTCTGTATTCAGAGTGACTGGTGCGAAGATCCATGTCTAAGTATCAGACTACACAGCCCTGGGACTGCAAAGGAGGCTCACTGGTATTGGGTCTGCCAGAGAATCCATGTTTGGTTCCCAACACCACACATGGGTGGCTCCCCACCTCCTGTTACTCCAGCTTCAGAGGACCCCCTTCTTACGGCCCCTGCTGGCACCACACACATATGCTGCACAGACAGCCAGGCAAAACACTCAGACACATAAAACTACACCATATTAATCAGCAAACTTCCATCACGTTTTTAACTTAATCCTAAACATCACACCCCCCATGGCAGCTCCCAAGAGGCTCCCAAACTACCACCCTGTGCTCACAAAGGTGCCCAGTTCCGACTCCTGAGGCGGCATAGGAGGGGCATCTCCCTCACCAGGGTCCACGTCAGACCACCCCAGTTTAACTCTTGGCTCTGCCTTGATAATGACTAACTTCGTGCACGTTACCTGCCTAGTTTTTCCGGCTCGTGACCCCAAGAAAGACAGGGCAACCATCACCCCCGTGAGAGCTGGAACACCTGACAGATACGACCCACTCACATGCTAGCATTGCACGGCCCGCAGGAGGGTGAGGACGGACTTGCCCACGACCTGCATCCGGGGTCCAGGGGTGAGCCTGACAGATGCCACCCACTCATGTGCAAGCATTGCTCAGCCAGCGAGCCTACAGACCCTGAGCAGGAGGGTGAGGACGGACTTGCCCACGACCTGCATCCGGGGGACCAGGGGCGAGCCTGACAGGTAGGTGCCACTCATTCACGTGCAAGCATTGCTCGGCCAGCGGGCCTACAGACCCTGAGCAGGAGGGTGAGGACGGACTTGCCCACGACCCGCATCCGGGGCCCCCGGGCGGGCGCTCCCCGCGGACGACTCACCTCCCCGGTTGGCAGCAGCAGCAGCGCGCGGCCCGAGCCCAGGTCCAGCGTGGGCTGGGTGATGTTCGCGTGCCGTG